ACTCACAATCAAGTTCAGGCTTGAGGAGTGATGCCACTACCTCGAGGGGGAGGGGGAAGAGGGGCAGTATCTAATATAGGTATACACAGACTACAAGAACCTTGAATATTTATATAAGACCAAAGCCCTGAAACAAAGACAGCTCTGTTGGGCACTATTATTTTCCCATTTGATTTCACCACCGCATATCAATTGGAAACCAAGAATGGCAAAGTGGACGTCCTATTGCGCAAAGGGGAGGACAGTACTGCAAGGAGGAAGAAACCTCTACCTGGGGAAAAGTCCCTCCTCCTGAAACCCCATAGCTTCCTCAATGATGCAATGCAACAGGATCTCCTTACTCTGATCTGGCTGGCTTCCCAAAGTGACCTGCTGGCTCAGAAGGTTGCAGCCTCCCCAGAGCAACCCGGAGGTAATACCAAGAGACTGCATACCATGATAGATGGAATAAGCTATGTTAGCAGCTGCATCTACATCCTGTAAAGGTGCCCCTGGTTGGAAGTGTTCCAGATATGCCACGATGTCCCCAGTGTGCCATTCCAGTCACTCTAAAACCTTATGTCTAACCTCTCGCCTCTTCTGGTGGCCCAGGAGGTAGACAAATATTTGGACCAATATCAACTCCTGCGATCTATGTGTTCATGCCAAAGTTCTGTGCATAAAACCCCTCAGCACCCTTATGCTCCTAGAAACGCCCTTTCAAAGCTAGGGAATGACCACCATGGACTTTATCAAAGAACTCCCTGAATTGAATGGATATATCACTATGCTCATGGTAGTAGATCTGTTGACACTTCCTCCCTTGCGCCCAACTGCCCACAGCCACAGCTCAACTTCTGTTTGCACATGTCTTTCATCCCTGACCACATAAGATCTAACAGAGGGTCCCAGTTCATCTCCAGTTTTTGGTGCAAGATTCTCCAACTATTAAACATCCGTATCTGCATGTCATCTGTGTACCACACCTAGTCAAACAGAAAGAGTAAATGGAGTGCTGGAGTGTTGTTTCAATCCACTCTCTTCCCATATCCCAAGTTCGCATATAACAATGCTGACCATGTTTCCACAAGCCAAAGCCCCCTTTTCACCAATTAGGGATACTGCGTCCATTTGCCTACTATTTTCTGAAACTGTCCTCCTGGAAAAAAATACAAGATTCTCAACAAAGAACTACTCACAATCAAGTTCAGGTTTGAGGAGTGATGCCTCTACCTCATACTCCCAATTGCCTCCCACACCTCAGCAGCCTGTGATATGGTTCAGCAAATCCACCATATCCAGGAAGAACTCAAGGAACACCTGGCAGAGGCAAAGGAAGACTACAAATGATAGGAAGATCACCAGAGACTGGCAGGCATAGAATTCAAGGTAGGCCAGAAGATTTGACTATCCACCAAACATCTTCACACCAAACATTTCATGAAGGAGATCACTGATATCTCAGACCATTTCAGATTTGCCAACTCATAGAATCATAAAATATCAGGGTTGGAAGGGACCTCAGGAGGTCATCTAGTCCAACCCCCTGCTCAAAGCAGGACCAATTCCCAACTAAATCCCAGCCAGAGCTTTGTCAAGCCTGACCTTAAAAACCTCTAAGGAAGGAGATTCCACCACCTCCCTCGGTAACCCATTCCAGTGCTTCACCACCATCCTGGTGAAATAGTGTTTCCTAATATCCAACCTAGACCTCCCCCACTGCAACTTGAGACCATTACTCCTTGTTCTGTCATCTGCCACCACTGAGATCAGCCGAGCTCCAACCTCTTTGGAACCCCCTTTCAGGTAGTTGAAAGCAGCTATCAAATCCCCCCTCATTCTTCTCTTCTGCAGACTAAACAATCCCAGTTCCCTTAGCCTCTCCTCATAAGTCATGTGCTCCAGCCCCCTAATCATTTTTGTTGCCCTCCGCTGGACTCTTTCCAGTTTCCCCACATCCTTCTTGTAGTGTGGGGCCCAAAACTGGACACAGTATTCCAGATGAGGCCTCACCAATGTCGAATAAAGGGGAACGATCTGCTGACAATGCTCCTACTTATAGAGCCCAAAATGCCATTAGGCTTCTTGGCAACAAGGGTGCACTGTTGACCCATATCCAGCTTCTCGTCCACTGTAACCACTAGGTCCTTTTCTGCAGAACTGCTGCCTAGCCATTCGGTCCCTAGTCTGTAACAGTGCATGGGATTCTTCCGTCCTAAGTGCAGGACTCTGCACTTGTCCTTATTGAATCTCATCAGGTTTCTTTTGGCCCAATCCTCTCATTTGTCTAGGTCCCTCTGTATCCTATCCCTACCCTCCAGAGTAGCTACCACTCCTCCCAGTTTAGTGTCATCTGCAAACTTGCTGAGGGTGCAGTCCATGCCATCCTCCAGATCATTAATGAAGTTATTGAACAAAACCGGGTCCCAGACCGATCCTTGGGGCACTCCGCTTGATACCGGCTGCCAGCTAGACATGGTTTACTAATTTACTCCGTCACTGTTAAACTCCGCTTGCTGAGGCTGCTCAAAATACACCCTGTTTTCCATAAAAACAACAAGGAGTCTGGTGGCACCTTAAAGACTAACAGATTTATTTGGGCATAAGCTTTCATGGGTAAAAACCTCACTTCTTAGGATGCATAGAGTGAAAGTTACAGATGCAGGCATTATATACTGACACATGGAGTCTCCATGTGCCCAAATAAATCTGTTAGTCTGTAAGGTATCTTGTTATTTTTGTAGATACAGACTAACACGGCTACCCCCTGATACTTGACACCTGTTTCCCATATCTCCCTTTTGAAACCATTCAACAGAACCTGCTTCCCAGCCATACGCATCCCCCCTCTGCCAGGGCCATAAGGAATACCTAGCCTGGGTCATACGGTGCTCCAAGATGAAGCGGGGTAAATCATGGAATCTTGTGGACTGGGATGGGTATGTTCCTGAGGAGCAGTCCTGGGATCTGGCCCAACACATACATGTCCCTGCATTTCACAAAAGGCCAGCAATGCCCCAGAGTGGCCACAATGTAAGGAGTAGCAGGTCTAGAACCTGGGTCTACAGATTCTCCAGGGAATAACCACTTCCATGCTAGCATTAACAGCTGGGGTAGTGAAAGCACTTGGCAGGTCATAAGCCTTAGCAGCCTACACCATAGGACATGCCACCCATGGTGGGCCTGACTTACAGGCCATTCCTGATTGGCCCAGACATACTACTTAAGCCTGGGGTGGCTACAGGAAGTTTGTCTGTGCAACTAGGTGGTTCCCCAGCTAGCTGCTGGTACAGACCCTGCTTCCTTGCACTGCTTCGGGTTCCTGATCTTGCCTTTTCCCTCCTGGCTCTGATGCCCGCTTTCTGACCCAGCTTTGTCTCCTGCTTCTGACTGTGACCTTGGCCTTATCTCCTGGCCCCAACTCTTGGCTCCTGACTTGGCCTTGGCTCCTGAGACTGGCCACTGGTTCCTGACCTCAGATCGACCCACGACTTTGATTCCTGAAATCTGGCTCTGGCTCTAGCCACTGGGCCAGCTGCCCACAACCCAGCTCTGACATCCCATCAGTCAGAGGCTGGACAGTGCTCTGGAGAAGGAAGGTTTACATCCCTCCCTAAGCTCCTAGCTGTTCCGTCCTCGCTGATAGAGCGGTGGGAGTTCTCCCTATCTCTGACTGTCCAGTCCTTTTGGAACCCTACTAAACTCTTGTCCTCAGAAAAGGCGCTTGTGCTCTGTCCGCCCGCCATCCCCAAACTATGCACTCCACATGGACAGGACAGCAAGGGCATGGCCGCAAGGGAAGTGAGCAGAGATGGTGCATGGCCATCAGAGCACAGGACCAAGATGGAGCATCAAGTGAAACAGCCCCAGGCAGCATCATGGTGCCAGGAACCAGGGGCTGGCATGCAGTTGATGCGCTTCACAAGCGGGTGAGCTGCTGTGGGCACCGCTCCAGTGGTGACATTCCTATGGACCATCACTTGGTTCCACTGTATTGGTTGGGTACTCCACCACCAGCCACTTGAGCCTGGTTGTAGCCCAGCACTGCTGGGCCTGGGAAGAGCATAGCACAGAGCTCTGTTGTGTGCACTGAGGAGCTGATTGGGTCTAATTCGCCTCAGGGAGTGGAACAGAGATTGTTTCCCGTTCCCCAGGCTCAGCAATAACAACCATCTCCTTTGCTCTCACTGGATCCAATTCCACCCTGCGGTAAGTGGGGTGACACCCTTTGCAGTCAGTAGAGATGCACTTGCTTAGACAAGGTCTGCGGGCGTCAGCTGGGCACTTGCAGGGATCAGGAAGGATTCCTCCCTCCCCATCCCATGCACAATGGGCCAGAGGTGTCTGGGTTTTTTTGGCCTTCCTCTGAAGAATCGAGGACTGGCCACAGATGGTGACAGGACACCAGACGGGGTGGGCCAGTGCTCTGAGATGGTTCAGAAAATCTTTTGCCTAGATGCCTGGCTGGGTCATGCTCGCATGATCAGGGGCAAATTGAGCTGCTAGATCTGGGGTCAGGAGGAATTTTCCCCAGAGCAGAATGGAGGGATATTGGGGGAGAGCGGGGGAGGGGCACCTTCTTCTGCAGCCTGGGGCATAGATTGACTGCGGTGATCATCAGATATCTCACCCAGTCCATTCCCAAGTCTTTGCTGGCGCCGCACAACTGCTCAGTGTTGTGAGGACTGAAACGCTTTAGTTTAGCTAACGTCATTGGGCTCCGTACATGGGGAGCGAGGTGAAATGTAACAGCCTGTGCTATGCAGAGGGTCGCACTGGATGATCTAATGGTCCCTTCTGGCCTTTAACTCTATGAAGTAATGGCCCTCGGTGTTGTATCCATCTCAATCACATTTCGTGTCAAATTCATCTCTAGGGCAGCTCCACAAGCTCCCATGGGCTGTGCTGAATTGCGCCCTTAGGGTTGAAGGCCGTGGCAAGCTGGCCACCGACCGTATGTCTGTTTGCCATGAAGAATGCAAAGCCAGCTCCAAGTCACTGGGATCCTCTTCTTTCTGTAGGAAGCTTCACTGCACCAGGAATTCCATCCACATCCACTTCTTCGCCTCCTTCCTAACGCGGGGAGCTGCCGTGCTCATCAAAGACTCCGTGCTCTTCGCGGATGAGTCCATCGATCACTGCACCATGTCCACAGTAAGAGGGTACTCAGCAGATGGGGTTGGCTCCTTCCAGGGCCAGGGCTGGCCTGGTGCTCTTGCATCAACCTGTTGGTGAACAGGCGCAGAGAAGAGCCCATGTGAACCTTTTCCTCTCTCCCTCGCTAGGTGAACTGCAAAGCGGCCATTGCCTTCTTCCAGTACTCAGTGCTGGCCAACTTCTACTGGCTCCTCGTAGAAGGGATGTACCTGCAAACACTGCTGCTGTTCACCTTCACCTCTGACAAGAGGTATTTCTGGTGGTACACCCTCATCGGCTGGGGTGAGTAAAGCGAATGCTGGTGAAATGCACTAAACCCGGGATGTCCATAGCGAGGACTGTTGAAGAAGGGCCAAAGGTTCTAGGAATCTTCCCAGAGCAGCCCATTAGCTGACAATTGTACACCGAAGCAGAGCTGAAACTGTTTTGTACAAAACTTTTCTTCAGTGGGGAGAAAAAAAATGCAGATTCAGCAATGCCGAAACGTCTTGTGAATTTGAGTCATTTTGGGTTCAACCTGAAATTTTTTCCATGACTTTTTTTTAATTTTCCATGAGCCAAAAAAATCTGTTGTTTGCCTATTTCTCTACCAAAGGTGGCCCCCGCCACTGAATCTTTGTCACATGCCTTGTTAGACTGGCTCCACTGAAGGAAGCAGAGCAAGGGATGGGCTAGTCTGAGACTCCAGAGGGCTCTGTCTCTGCATTGCAGGGCCGGCTTCAGGCACCAGCTTAACAAGCAAGTGCTTGGGGTGGCCAAGGGAGAGGGGCGGCACCTGCGGCAATGAACTGCCGCCTCCGATCGTGGCTTTTTTTTTTTCCAATTGCCGCCGCCGATTGCGATCGCAGCTTTTTTTTTTTGCTTGAGGCGGCAGAAATGCTGGAGCCGGCCCTGCTGCATTGTGTGGTCTCTCTGGGTCTTAGTTCCTCACCTGTGTATAAGGATAATAGCCCTGCCTCAGAGGGGACTTGTGAGGTGTATGTATAAAGACTCAGAGGGGTAGCCGTGTTAGTCTGAATCTGTAAAAAGCAACAGAGGGTCCTGTGGCACCTTTAAGACTAACAGAAGTATTGGGAGCATAAGCTTTCGTGGGACCCTCTGTTGCTTCTTTAAGACTCGTCTTCGATGAATCAATGAACAGTCTCCACTCATCTGGATCGTGAACGATGTTGAGGG